GCGAGCCGGTCTTTGACGATCGTATCGTCAAGATCGAGACTTACAACCCGTAAGCCAACAAAATGTAACTGCGGCGCGACCGGGTGGGAGAAGGATAGCGCGAGGCGTTCGCGAGTAGGAAAAGGATAGCATTCTATGGATGTGGGAGAAGGATAGCGCGAGGCGTTCGCAAGTAGAAAAAGGATAGCATTCTATAGGCGTGCGAGAAGGATAGCGCGAAGCATGCGCGTGGATGATGATGTGAGATACGGCGTTCGTAAGGTGGTGCGAGAGAGATAGCGCGAGGAACGTCCAAAATATAATTAATATTTCGTGCGGAATATTTTATATCATGCGGACACAGATGGCACCGGATTTGTTACCAAGTTTTGACTGAATTTGATGCCAATTTGGCGACAATTTGTTATCAAATTGCGCATTGGGAAGTGACCTAAAAATATTAATTACGCATTAAGTACATTTATATATAAAATATAAATATACATTCACATTTTCAGAACCAAAAGTAGCGACTAATTTTTAGATCCGCAAAATGTTTGTGTACACTATAGAAGTTTATTATTTTATCATTTTATTATTTTATATAAAGCCAAATAATAAAAATGTGTATTTAATGCTGTTGTTTTTATGATATTTTTGTTAGAATTCTCACAAGATTAATTTTGCTATATTAATATAAACTCATTGCTTTTAGCCATTTGTAAGTTAACCTAAAAATATTAATTATGCATTAATTACATTTATATATATAATACAAATAAACATTATATACATGAATGCGCGTTTGCGCGTATAATTACCAGCTTATCGTTATCGAAAACATGGCCAGCCAAAATCTCCAAATATTCCTTCGATTTATTCATAATCATTTCCCAATAATGTATTTATCACAAACATGTTATAATTGATAATGCACAGATTCACTCCACTGTAAGTGTTACGTCCTGGCGACTCCACGATTCCTTTCTTCCGCGACGTGGCGGTAACGATCGTCAGTTGGTGATAAGAACGAACCGTTCAATAAACAAAGCATCTTGTGCCATACGTTTCTTTTAAATACTGTCATTTGTCAGTAACTACATCCACGAGTATCCGTGAGAAAGACGCAAAGAAATCGGTGATGGAAACCATGCCGGTCTCCTCGGGATAAATCATATTAAAATAACTATTGATATAATGTATACCAAAGTAGTTTAATTTATTAACTTTATTAACCCCTATTATTTATATTTATATACTTTATTAACCCCTATTTATTAACCCCTATATTATCTTTATTAACCCCTCTCATTTTCCAGTCAAAAGATCGCACCTGATCCCATCCCGCGTAATAGAGATTAAATTCTCTTACCAAAAAACCGCCTAGCGCCGAGCGAACGTCTGAAAACCAGAGTAATAGTGACTCTAACGGTCGTTTACCTGATTTTCGGAGCGTCAAGTTCGTTCGACCCGATTCTAACGCTTCGAGACGTTTAACTTCGGGATCATAAAGATAGTGGTTGCGCCCTTCCACTGACTCATCCTTCCTCGAGTCTGGACGTAACATAAGCATTCGCTCAGTTTTAGTAATGTAACCTAACTTTGCTCGATATGACATCGATTAATTAAAGAGATCACTTCTCTTCCTTACACTATTCCGCGTTAATAATTTCTTTTCGCTATATCACTTCTCTTCGTTGTTGCACTATTCCGCGATACTCTTATCATTTTTCGTCTTTTCGTTCCCTTTATTCTGTGATATATACTGTTATCTTATAACTTTAACATTTCTTATCTTGTCTGCGCGATATATACTCTTATAACCTTACATTATTATCTTATACATATGCACGTACATACACAAAATTGTCTCTCAAGGCGTACTTACACACTCAAGCGAATAATCGTACATGAGCGCTGCAAACGCGCCTTGAGGGACAAAATCGCTTTGCGTATGTGCGTGCGAGCATACGTACGTGAGCGACTGAATCTGAACCTGAAAAAAAATGAGACCAAAGTGTCACATTTCTGGTATACAATTATCATTCCTCAGGATTGACTGCACCAATCTTATTCAATATGGTCGCAATCAAAAGCTTGCATCCACATTGTATCAGAAAAATGCCATTAGATTTTTGATTAACGGTTTGGTTCCTGAAGAATTTTAATTGAAAGTTAATTAGATGTAAAACTCCGGATAAGCTACTTGGTAGCGCCACGGCCCCTGTATATAGGCAACTGTTGACAAGCCGAAACGATTTTTTTCATATACTTGATACGGTTTGTATACAGTTTAACTTCTGTATTAAAATTATTTATCAAAATAAGATAAATAAATGATTGATATTTAAGAGATTAAGCATTAAGACATGTGATTGTGTCCGTTAAAATTCAATATGGTATAAGCTTTGTAAATATATACTGTTTATATAATTCCTTCTAAAAAAGAATTTTCTTTCTATTGAATAAATTTAAAAAAAAATTACATCCATGTTTATATTTTGCAAAAAAATTTCAAATTTAAAACTTTTACAAAAAGCAGTGAGATCCCACAAAAGAACCTCACAAAGGTAAAAAAAATACGCCAAGTATATAAAAAAATCCCATCTTGTACGCAAAAAAAGTTTAATATCTATCCCTAAAAAATAACTGTTAAAAAAATTTTTCCTTGAAAAATAATTTTTATAAAAAATAAATTAAAAAATGATTTTTCTCTAAAAAATAACACTATAAAAATAAAAACTTTTAAAAAATCAAAAATCAAAACTAAATTTGAAATCAAGTTAACTAGCCAAGTACATAGAAGCAGTTCAGTTTGTGAGAGTTTATAATTTGAAATAGTATTTGTTTGATAAAATCAGTCTTGCAATTATAGAAATATTATAGATTCTCTTGAGAAAATTAAAATGCATTTTATTTTTATAAAAAAATTACACTATTAAAAATAACTTGTATTGTATATCTCATTTATGCTGTATAAAATAAAAATAAATAAATACATTTATTTATTTTTATGTAAGGAGACGAGAATAGAAAGAATAAAAGTTGAGCAAATAAAAGAATATAATAATGGGAATAAAAGAATACAATAATGAACGAGCAGAAAGAGAGAGAGAGAGAGAGAGAAGCGCGAATGAATGCGTAAGTGAATATGCGAGGAGCATGAAACTAAGCGATACGTAGTGCATAGCGAGCGAGCGATTAGAAAGAGACAGAGCGTATGATCGAGAGAAAAAAGATACTGTGTTTGAGATTGCATTAAATCAAATATAATTTAATTTCTTCGTTGTAACATGGGCTTCGCATTATTATTCCATCGCGATCAAAGTCAAAAAACTAATTATCAACACCGCTATAAAAGGGCCCGCTCTTGAGGAGCGCCCGACACTCGCTTACGCATTTAGTTACCGCATATTTAGTTACACCGCATTTCGACACTTGCTGAAAACGCGCAGAGTTACCGCTTACGTTTAACCGCTTACGACAACTGCTATTCTCTTTGTGAAACCGTTTACGACAACCGCTATTCTTTTTGTGAAACTGCCTATAACCGACAGAGCTTTTTTTCTGGAACTTTTATATGATTTGTGATTGTGTTAATTATTTGATTATAATTAAAAAACGTGAATTGTACTTGCGAGATTTATTTTCCGCGAATCAAAAGATCCTCGCACACTTTTCCAATTTCGCCTCGCTCTCGAACATTTTCTGGTCCTTCGAGCCGGATCATCGCCGGCATCCGCGAGTTTGTGAGCGAGACCTGAAAAGGGAAAGACAAACATTACAAAATCTGCGCAGACTTAAACAATTTGCTGCAAGCTCAACGCGACATCCACGGTCGCATGTCAAGGTCGGTGGAAAATCTACGAAAACTAGGCGCAGCTGGCATCAACCGCGGCAGCATCGAGGCCCGGATCAAGATCCTGGATCAACTGTGGGCCAAGTTCGAGACACAGCATGAGCTCATCCGCACCAGCTATAAGGAGAGATACAGCGAGAGTGAGTACGCTACTGCTTTTGTTGATGCCGTAGAAAATATTTACGTTCAACAACGCGGCAAGCTCGCCGAATATGCGGAGCAGCACCAAGCCGTTCCTCTTCAGTAGGCGTCGTCTAACAAGCAGCAAAATAGCGATCGCTCGTTAAAAACCGCGTTGCCAAAAATCAAGTTACCTCCGTTCTCAGGTGCGTATGAAGACTGGCCGTCCTTCCGCGATTTATTCCTGTCCGTGATCGGTACAAATTCCGCTGTTTCTCCCATCGAACGGTTCCATTATCTGCGTTCGTGCTTGCAAGGACCTGCGGAAAAATTGATACGTCCGTTAGCGGTTACCGGAGAGAATTACGAGCGCGCTTGGGCAATCTTGAAGAAGCACTTCGAAACAAGAAAGAACTCATTCGGTCGAACTTTGCCACATTCTCCGCCGTATCAAAAATGAAGGGCGAAACCGCGGAAAAACTGAGCCGCGTTTATCACGCCGTAACGTACGCCGTGAACGCGCAAGAAAGCATCGGGCGGCCGATTGAATCGCACGGGATGGACCTATTTAATCACTTGGTCGTTGAACTTTTCGATGCGCGCACTAGGCTCGAGTGGGAATCATCCACGAGCGATTCATTCGAGACATTATTGAACTTCATCACTAAGCGAATGCTCACGCTTAACGCCGCGAAACCGAAAACCGTCAAGATCTCCAGAGACTCACCGAAGCCCGCGAAAACTCACTTCACTAGACACGAATCCAACGCGGCACAGTGCGCCTTGTGCAAAGAGCGACACGCGCTCATGGTGTGCGGGCAGTTCAAAGCGAAGCCCGTCAACGAACGTCGATCCTTCGTCGAAGCGCATCGACTGTGCTACAACTGCCTCGGCAGTCATCCGGTTGCGAGGAGTCAATCAACTAGGAATTGCTGGTCTTGCAAGGGGCAACATCACTCGATGTTGCACGATGCGTACGCGACCTCGAAGACTATCGATGCAACGGCTCTCTCCGCAATTAAACAGAGCGATGACCGCAAAGCGATTCTTCTCGCGACCGCGCGCGTTCTCGTCGCTGACCGCTACGGAGAGCCTCATTCCGTTCGCGTCTTAATCGACCAGGGATCCGAGGTATCCATCGTCACCGAATCGCTGGTGCAACGCCTACGCCTCCAAGGAAATCACTCTTCCGTGACGATCTTCGGGATCGGCGGATCGCTGTTCGGTGCTTCGCGCGGCAAGGTAGCGCTCGAAGTCACGTCAAGAGTGACCGGAGATATGTGCTCCGTTGTCGCCTTCGTGCTTCCGCGCCTCTCCTCGTATCGGAGTTCTACGACGAAACATCGCAAAGGCTGGCCACATCTCCAGGGACTGCCGTTAGCCGACCCGGAATACATGGCCACCGACCCCGTCGAACTGCTTCTCGGAGCAAAGATCTGCTCGTCGATCTTCAAAGATGGACTCCGCAAGGGTGGACCGCAAGCTCCCATGGCACAGAACACCATCTTGGGATGGATTCTGTCGGGAGGATGCAGTGTTGCGACGCTGCATGGTCACCTTAACTCACTCCAGTGCACCGCAGACCACGACCTCACAACAATGGTCCGCCGCTTTTGGGAGCAAGAGGAAGTGCCGCTCGCTCCCACCGTTCTCGCACCCGAGGAAGAAAAGTGCGAGAATTTCTTCGCGCAAACGCACACACGCACGAGTGATGGACGGTACGTCGTTCGGCTGCCGTTCGCCACTACCCCAGGGAACCTCGAAGAAACTCGCAAACCAGCCGAGAGACTGCTGACCGCCATAAAGCGGAAAGGCAGCCGGGTCTTCATTCGGCGACTTATACCGCTCGTTCATGCTGGAGTACGAGCACCTGAAACACATGAGCGAAATCAGCAAAGAGTCAACCGCAAACGTCAAGGGCAACAGGATCTGCTACCTACCACATCACGGAGTGTTGCGTGAGTCGAGCACCACCACCAAACTTCGCGTTGTTTTCAATGGATCGCAGCGCATCCGGTCAGGAGAATCGCTGAACTCGCAGCTCCTCGTGGAGGCCAACCTCCTTCCCGCGTTCGCCGACGTCCTCCTCCGCTGGCGGTGGCACCGTTACGCCATCGTGGCGGACATCGAGAAGATGTACCGCCAAATGCTCGTGCACCCCGACGACCGTGACTTCCAGCGCGTGCTATGGCGTCGCGACAACACGCGTGAGGTTCAGGAATACCGCTTGAATGCAGTAACATACGGTCTCGCGTGCACGCCGTTCCTCGCAATTTGAACTCTGCGCCAGCTCGCCGACAACGAAGAGTCTCGCTTTCCTCTCGGTGCCGCCGCTCTTCGATGAGACTGTTACGTCGACAACATCGTATCGGGCGCCAACACGAAGTCAGAAGCAGCAACGCTGCAGCACAAACTCCGCGGACTTTGCATGGCGGGCGGGTTTCCGTTGCGAAAATGGGCCTCCAACTACGAGGAGATCCTCACCGGAGTCCCGCAGGAGCACCGGCTCCTCAAGGCTCAGCACACCTGGGAGAATGAGCTCCATCCCACCCTGGTCTCCGATGGCAGGCGCGCAACGACCATTTCGCGTTCGCGATCCAACCCCACATGCCCGAAATGATGACCGAATACACGAAGAGGCGAGTCCTCGCAGAGACAGCGCGTCTCTTCGATCCGCTGGGCTGGCTGGCTCCAGTAATTATTCGCGCGAAGATCCTAATCCAATCCGCCTGGCTACAAGGACTGGATTGGGATGCTCCGCTTCCACCATCCGATGCCCAACAGTGGCAACTCCTCCTCGAGGAGCTTCCGCAACTCAAACAAATACGGGTTCACCGCTGGCTTCGCACGGGAGAGGAAGCCTCAACCCTCCAAATACACGGTTTCGCGGATGCCTCTGAGAGAGGCTACGCCGCCGCCGTGTATCTCCGCACCGTGACCAACGGTATCGCGACGATCCACCTCCTAGCTGCAAAAAGCAAAGTTGCTCCGATTAAACAAATTTCGTTACCGCGCCTTGAACTTTGCGCTGCATCTTTATTAGTGACGCTTACTCACCATCTCCGCATTGTATTGAGTCTTTTTGCAGCGCCAATATTTCATTGGTCCGACTCCAAGGTCACCCTCTATTGGATCCAAGGACACGCCTCGAGATGGAAGACGCACATAGTCAACCGAGTTGCCCAGATCCAGACGCTGCTTCCGGAGGCCCAGGGGAGATACGTACCTGGCCAAAACAACTCCACCGAGCCGACGGTCTCGAGAATATCTACACGGACTTACCTCTGGACCGAAGTAGCTGGGTCTCTAGGCGAATCCCAACATCGGCACGCTCTGCCTGCTTCTCTCCGAGACAACCCCGCCGAGCCGATGGCCCCTCGCCCGCATCATCACGCGGCACCCCGGAGACGACGACGTCGTGCGCGTGGCGACCATTTGGACACCCACAACAGAGCCCAGCCGACCACTCACCAAGCTCGCGACACTTTCCAGCGTCACCGAAACTTCACCGCCGACACGAAAAAGAAAGAAAAAAAACCGCACTTTTGTACTAGTCTAAGAAATAAAAATACCGTAGAATTTAATCCGACGGGCCGCGCCGCGTTCACTCTTACATTTTGCGATAGTTCTCTCGAGGCGTCGATATTCACTTTATGCTTTTACTTCAATTCTCTTTTTTTGTCTTCGCTGTCACGCACTCACCGCACTTAAAAAATCGTTAACTTCACAAATGCACGCACGAATGCATGGCCTTCTGCCAACACATTTTCAATTTCGACTGTTCACTTGCATTATTTTCTCATTGTAAATTCTTCATTCATTTCATAACCATAACACCGCACGCGTACGTAACTGTACACAACACTTTCTGAATGAGCGCTTCTTCCCGCACTCCCGCTCGCCACCCCGCTTCACTCGATCATGCATTCCAGATCGAACGCGCTAATCAATCGGACCATAGACCAAGTCACGACACCTGTTCCTTGGCGCGCGAATTTATTTCGGCACGGAGTGCCGAGGCGGGCGGGAATGTTTGAGATTGCATTAAATCAAATATAAATTAATTTCTTCGTTGTAACATGGGCTTCGCATTATTATTCCATCGCGATCAAAGTCAAAAAACTATGTTCTTATCGCTATTATTATTTAAGGTTTGGTGTTTTTTTTTGACTTTTGAAGCCCATGTGACAAACAAGTTCAACAAGAAAACACGCAAACAACTTTGTCGAATAGCCGCGCGAGAAACGGCTTCTGGCACGCGCGAGGCCGTGACGTAGCCCGTGACGTACGGGCCACCGGCCTATCACTCGCTCTGAGTCTCATCTCGCGCCGATATTTCAAGGGGCGGCCAATGAAGTTTGGCGCCGCGTTGAATCTTCGAACCGAACTCGGAGGTTCAAACTTATTGGCAGCGAAAAATTATCAACACCGCTATAAAAGGGCCCGCTCTTGAGGAGCGCCCGACACTCGCTGAAAACGCGCTACGTTTAACCGCTTTGATAACCGCTTTGATAACCGCTTTGATAACCGCTTACGACAACCGCTATTCTCTTTGTGAAACCGCTTACGACAACCGCTTTTCTTTTTGTGAAACTGCCTATAACCGATCGAGCTTTTTTTCTGGAACTTTTGTATGATTTGTGATTGTGTTAATTATTTGATTATAATTAAAAAACGTGAATTGTACTCGCGAGATTTATTTTCCGCGAATCAAAAGATTCTCGCACACTTTTCCAATTTCGCCTCGCTCTCGAACATATTGCAATAATGTTAGTGCGTACATGTATATTACTCTCACACGCATGAAAGAGACGAAGATAGTACGATTATGTCTGTGTTTGTCATGTACGATTTCAGCTCTGTTTATCGTGACATCACGCAACTAATTTATTGCTCTGTTTTACTCTTGAGCCTCCATCTCGCACACACACATATGCACGAAAATTTTATTTTGCAAAATTTTTTTTATAAAGCTTTTAAACTCACTTTTCTAAGTTCTTTTATACTCTTTGATGAAATGCCGAGTGCAGGGTTTACTGATTAGGCCGGTGCAGATTACAAATCTTTTATATTAAGTAAATGTTGACGGCATGGGCCGATAACAAAACTGTAATTTTATAATTTTTTTTCACTTTTCATATGAAATGTTAAACTCCGCATTCCGTTATTATGTATACTTTAATTGTGGAAAAGGATTTTTTGGTATCTATAATCAACAAAAATATTTTGCATAATAACGTTTTTATCGGTAAAACAGACCTTTTGGGATCCCCTTAAGCGCGCTCAAAAATTGGCGCATTAACGGCCATCTCGCGCTGCGCACGGCTCCCAACAAATGAGAGAGCGCGTCGACAGCGGCGCTACGTGAATCGCGCCAGGCCCGCGGCATCGCTCGTGCCTATCGATGCGGGCCACGCAGCGGTCACCCGGGAGAGCATAAGTTACAAATAAATACGAATAACAACGTTCAATTTTACCGAATCATCAACAACAACGGTAGGCACGATCTTTTGGGACAAACACGCAGAAAGTTCTAGAACTAGCTAAAGAACGATTGTATAAAAGCTCTTTCGGGGAACCGCCGGGCGCACTCGATCGTGAACTCTATCCGTGACAGTGTGTTATCAAAATCGTTTAATCTTTCGTTAAGGAAAAGTCGCTTGCTTTTTTATTCGTACGCTCGCCTACGAAACGCGAAGTAATCGATTTGCTTAGAAGAAATTTCGCGTTGCTCCCGATTAATCTCTCGAAAATAAAACGCGCCGTTTATTCCGTCGTTCGCGGAATCGCGCCGTTTATACCGTCGCTTGCGGTATTCAAGATATATCCGTCGCTCGCGGAGATTATCTTTGCGCTCCCGGTCGCTCGACGGAGCAAGAACTCGGTTAAGATTAGCATAAATTTTATCGGTGAAAAACTTGTGAACTATTTATTGTTTAAAATAAATTGATTGCCTTTTACAAACGATTTCACATAATTCTGGTCCTTCGAGCCGGATTCCTCGCAACCGGCATGCGCGTCGTGTGTAGTGAACCACTTGGTGAGCCTCTCTTGTGCTTTGCGGAGAGGAAGCGAGCAGTTACCAAGAAGAGATTCCTCACTGTGATAACCTGAAATGGACATGGAGGCATTAGTCCTAGCTCAGCACGAGGTCTGCTGTCGTATCGTTCGCACGTACGACAATTTAAAAGAGGCAGGACAAGCGAAAATTAATAAAGGGCTTGTGGCAACCACGCTCAAGCTACTGGACTCCAAATGGACTAAGTTTGAGGAACAACACGAACTGCTGTTTGCCGAGTATGGAGCGGAGATCAGGAAGCACGAGTACGGGACAATGGACTTTCTCGGGCAAGTAGAGGAGGTCTACGTGATCCAGCGCTGTCCTCGAGCTAGAAGAAGCTCTCGCGAGGCCAGCTTCCCAGACGACTTAAGCGGGGCCTTCTGGAGACGAGCCTCGGTCTGCTCCCCGTACAACCCTCCCGCGCATCCAGATTCCCAGCTTCTCCGGGAAATACGAGGACTGGCCGGCCTTCCGTGATCTGTTCCAGTCAATCATCGGAAAGGACTCTTCAATAGCGCTAGCAGAGAAGCTGCATTATCTGAAGACCTGCTTAAAGGGTGAGGCAGAGTTATTAATCCGTAATATCTCTACGACGGGCGACAATTACGAAAGCGCGTGGCAAATGTTAAGCGACTATTATGAGAACAAACGCTTCTTGGTACGCGTCTATCTCGCGAACTTCGTCTCGCTCCAGAAGGTGAAGAGCGAATCTCCGGCCGAGCTCCGAAAAATCTTCCATTGCTTGAAAACCACAGTTAGCTCGCTGGAAAACATCGGCCGGCCGATCGACTGTAGTGAAGACTTGTTCGTATATTTAGCCGTCAACCTCCTCGACTCGCGCTCGCGCCACGAATGGGAAAACTCGATTAGCGACACGAAGGAACCGCCGTCGTTCGACACTCTTGAGCTGTTTCTCGTCTTCACACCTTGGAAGCGATGCAGCCGATCAAAGCCGATGGTTCCGCGAGCAAACCAGGGTCCAGCACGCAAAAGTACACACGCAGTCATCTCGCCCGAAAGCAAGAGAGAAAACCTAAGGTAAAGCGAGGCCGCTGCGCGTTGTGCCAGCGAGACCACTTCTTGATGCTCTGCGAGGAGTACAAGAAGAAGACGGCCCAGGAACGGAAGCGGATAGTCGAGGAGAGTAAATTGTGCCTTAACTGTCTCGGCCGGCACCAGGTAGGCAAGTGCGCCTCCAAGAAGGCGTGTTCGGTGTGTGAGGCGCGTCACCACTTTTCGCTGCACGACGCTTGTCGCGATAATGCCGTCGCGAAATCGTCGCACGTCGCGCAGGGGCCTTCCGACCGGCCTGTCACCGTGCTTCTCGCGACCGCTCGCGTTTGAGTAGCCGACCGACACGTCATCCTACACCCGGCGCACGCGCTCATCGATCAGGGCTCGGAGTCATCGATCATCTCCGAGCGCCTCGCACAAAGGTTAAAGCTGCCGCGCTCACCTGTCTCAGTCGGGAGCGGTGCACTTGGACACAGTACAATTGGACACGGTGCAAATGGACACGTTGCAATTGGACACAGAAACTTTGCACACAGCTCAATTGGACACAGTGCATTTGGACACAATAATTTTGGACACAGTAGCTTTTGGACACAGAAGAAAATTCATTTGGACACCGTTCAGTAGTACACCAGTCAGTTGCATACCGTTCAGTTGCACACCGTTCAGTTGCACACCGCTCAGTTGCACACCGCTCAGTTGCACACCGCTCAGTTGCAAACCGATTAGTAGCACACCGCTCAGTTGCACACCGCTCAGTTGCAAACCGTTCAGTTGCACACCGTTCAGTTGCACACCGTTAATTTGCCCACCGTAGTTGTAAAGCGAGGTCCACCCTGCCTACCGGCGGGGTGGGTGCGGGAGGGGGCCGAAGGTCCCCTTCCCCCCCCCCCCCCGTGTGTGTGTGTGCAACTGAGCGGTGTGCAATTGATCGGTGTCCAACTGAACGGTGTGCAACTGAGTGGTGTGCAACTGAACGGTGTGCAACTGACCGGTGTGCTACTCAACGGTGTCCAAATGAATTTTCTTCTGTGTCCAAAAGCTACTGTGTCCAAAATTATTGTGTCCAAATGCACTGTGTCCAATTGAACCGTGTGCAAAATTTCGTGTCCATTTGCAACGTGTCCATTTGCACCGTGTCCAATTGTACTGTGTCCAAGTGAAGGCCACTCGAGCCACTCGACCTTCGGCTTTCGGTGGCATCCGCACGAAGACTCATTCGCGTTCTCAACCCCGCTTCTCCAGTTATCGACTGTAACGAAAAAAACAGTGCTTTCATTGACAACCCGCCTGTTTGACCTGATGGGATGGCTCGCCCCCACCACGGTGCGCGCTAAGATATCAATACAGGCGACATGGTTGCTAGGGGTCGACTGGGACACCCCACTGCCTGAAGGCGACGTGCAGAGGTGGCAAGAATTCCAGACCGAACTCCCCTTTCTGAGGCACATCCGAGTTCCCCGTGGGCTCACGGGCGGAACTGATTGCCGACGTGAAATCTACGGCTTTGCCGACGCCTCCGCGAAGGCCTACGCGGCCGTCGCGTACCTGCGAACAGAAAATCTGAAAGAAAAGTTAGAAGTCACTTTACTGGGCGCAAAAACGAAGGTCGCCCCTTTGAAGCTGGTAATATAACCACGCCTGAAGCTATGTGCGGCAACGCTGCTCACTGGGCTCGTCGGCCACATCTGCCGTGTCCGATTGAGCCTGTGTCCGGTCGGACCTGTGTCCGATCGGGCCTGTGTCCGATCGGGCCTGTGTCCGATCTGGCCTGTGTCCGATCGGGCCTGTGTCCGATTGCAACTATATGTGTCCGATCGGAATTGTGTCCGATTGTGTCTGTGTCCGATCGAGCCTGTGTCCGATTGGGACTGTGTCCGATTGCAACAGTATGTGTCCGATTCCGATCGGGCCTGTGTCCGATTGCAACTATATGTGTCCGATCGGAACTGTGTCCGATCGGGACTGTGTCCGATCGAGCCTGTGTCCGATTGGGAAATATTGTCGTGTCCGATCGGTAATGTGCGCAATCGAGACTCACTCGTACACTTACCCGGTTAACTCCTTTCAGAGACACCCAGGGAATCTTCAGAGTCGGCGGTCGGATCAAGCGCGCACTCCTCTCCTTTGACGCCAGGCACCCGATTATCTTGCCAGGAGGGTCAGCCTTTACTCGACTCGTCATCGAGGCGTGCCATCGCCGGACCTTGCACGGGGGCATGCAACTGACCCTTGGCTCCATCCTCCAAGAATACTGGATCCCCCACGGGCAGGCGCTCGTCAAAGTTGCATCCACCGTTGCTTAACGTGCCTGCGATGGAGGGCAGCAATCCCGCAGCCACTCATGGGGGACTTGCCGCGGCCTCTAGTGACACCGGCTCGGCCTTTCCTCCACACAGGTATCGACTACGCAGGACCAATGTGGCTACGAACCTCCAAGAGACGAGGCCAGCGCGCTACTAAGGCCTTTCTAGTGGTCTTCCTCTGCCTCAGCACCCGCGCCGTCCACCTCGATGTAGCTTCAGACTATTCCGCCGACGCCTTCCTGGCCGCGCTGCGTCGGCTCATCGCACGCCGTGGGCTGTGTCGAGCCCTCTATAGCGATTGCGGCACAAACTTCATTGTCGCCGACGCCCAACTGCGAGCGCTCTTCGCAGCCAGCGGTCGGGAAGGACAGCGCATCGCGGGAGGTCTCGCCGCCGAGAGAATTGAATGGCACTTCAATCCTCCGACGGCGCCCAATTTCGGTAGACTCTGGGAGGAGGCTGTCAAGGCAGCGAAGCACCACCTCAGGCGCATCATCGGCGACGCGAAACTGACGTACGAGGAGATGGCCACCCTGTTAGCACAAATAGAATAGTGCCTCAACTCTCGTCCGTTACAGGCCTTGTCGGACGACTCGGAGGACCTGGAGGCGCTTACTCCCGGCCACTTTCTCGTCGGCACAGCACTCAACGCCGTCCCGGAGCCATCCCTCGCCATGGAAACCACGACGAGATTATCCCGGTGATAGCATCTGCAACAGCTGCGGGACCATTTCTGTAGCCGGTGGTCCCGGGAGTACCTCCATTCTCTGACGCACCGGCCGAAATGGTGCAAAGCCGACGAGGAAGTACGCGAAGGCCGGCTGTGCCTCCTAAGGAGCGAAACGACGCCGCCGAATACGTGGCCCCTCGCAAGGGTCGACCGCGTGCATCCCGGGGAAGACGAGGTCGTCCGAGTCGTCGTCGTGCGCACCGCCACCTCCAGCTTTAAGCGACCATTATCGAAAATCATCCTCCTCCCGATCAGCACGGCACCGGAGGACGACGCGCAACAAAAAAAATTCTTTATATTAATAAATTCGGGTTACGCGAGGCCCCGTACTCACGCTTACCATTACCGCGAACTACTACTCACCGCACAGAATCAGCTGTTCGCGAAATACCACGACCACTGTACGCGACTTCCACAACGCGACCGTGAATATCGTAGCGAGAAAACCATCGCATCACAACGATTAACGAGCGTGCACTCGCGAATATCGGCCCTCGCGATCACTTGCACAGGTCAACCGAGTCACTACACCTTACGTCATGTAATCCTTCTAGTAGCCGAGAGCCGGTAGCCGCTCTTTTGCAATAGCGAACAAGTCCGCGATCTTTCGCGACACTCACGCGTAGAAACGACGTAGCTTAAAGCGTCGTATTATCAGCTGAAAAAGTTAATGGTGCCGCATTCCATCGCGGCAATAACACGCGCGCCGGCCACGTGATCAACCAAGCGTCACGTTTGAGCCGCGTGACCACCCGCGTCACGTTCGCGACGCGGGACCACGCTGAGACGCCGAACTTGGCCGCATAAATCGATCAGCGGAAAATTTCATTGGTTCAACCATACGAGGCGGGCGGAATGTTTGAAACCGAACTAAAAGTAATTAATTCATAGCAATGGTCAGCTATAACGAGCGCGACAATAAAGCGCGGCTTAAGCGCGCTCAAAAATTGGCGCGTTAGCGGCCATCTCGCGCGGCGCACGGCTCCCGACAAATAAGAGCGCGCGTCGACAGCGGCGCTACGCGAATCGCGCCCGCGGCATCGCTCGTGCCTATCGATGCGGGCAACGCAGCAGTCACCCGGGAGAGCCTAAGTTACAAATAAATGCGAATAACAACGTTCAATTTTACCGAATCATCAACAACGGTAGGCCCGATCTTTTGAGACAAACACGCAGAAAGTTCTAGAACTAGCTAAAGAACGATTGTATAAAAGCTCTCTCGGGGAACCGCCGGGCGCACTCGATTGTGAACTCCATCCGTGACAATGTGTTATCAAAATCGTTTAATCTTTCGTTAAGGAAAAGTCGCTCGCTTTTCTATTCGTATGCTCGCCTACGAAACGCGAAGTAATCGATTTGTTTAGAAGAGATTTCGCATCGCTCGCGATTAATCTCTCGAAAATAAAACGCACCGTTTTTTCCGTCGCTCGCGGAATCGCGCCGTTTATACCGTCGCTTGCAGTATTCAAGATATATCCGTCGCTCGCGGAGATAATCTTTGCGCTCCCGGTCGCTCGCCTGAGCAAGAACTCGGTTAAGATTAGTATAAATTTTATCGGTGAAAGACTTATGAACTATTTATTGTTTAAAATAAATTGACTGTCTTTTACAAACGATTTCATGTCCGTTTCACGCAACTCTCGCGCTCCCGCGTTCTCTCGCGCACATTTGTATATAAATGAGAAATGAATAAGTTGCTGTATTTGACCATGAAAACTAACAGTGTACGCATGCGCGAAAAGAGAGTGTTCTAATCCATATCTCCATCCTTTTCTATCTCTCTATCCATCTCTCTCGCTCTCATGGGTAAAGTGGGTTAGCAGCGGCCTATCTCACCTACTGTTATCTGTTATATAAACTTCACGAAATAGCTTATTAAAAAGTCCTAGCTCTATCCTGGTCCGGTTTATGGGCCGCATCCACCATCTACGTTATTTTGCATGACGTTTCTTGTTTTTTATATAGAAATGCACTAATTGCAGATGAATACGAAAAGTATTCAAATGAAATAATGAACAAGTTAAGGCTCGAACATTCATAGTTGCAGGATGCACTAAATATAAAAAACAGACGATGCTATAGATTTTCAGTGCTGACAATGTATATCGGAAAGCGCCCTTCTTTAGAAAATTTCTGCTTTCTGATTGGCCGTATGTTATTCTCCTTGCGACTTATGTAGACAGTGTTTATATTGCCACTGCGCTTCCGTCTAGACGACTTTAAAACTGCGACCATATCTACGACTTTACGACTGCTAGTGTAGACGAGACTTTAATAGTACAAATAGTATTTTTTCTCAATAAGCTTTTAATAATATTTTATATGCATTGCATTGTTTACTAAAGTATATAAAACAAGGTTTAATTTTATTAAGCATTGAGTTTGTAACGGGCCGCTTTCGCGAGATCGGATAGTTCGGTCAGGATCAGGGCTTGTGAAAAGGTTGAGACGATAAACGCGTGATGTAATATAGTCTGTTTATTTGCCTACTTCGGCAATGGTCAGTATACAAGTGTTAACGACCGGTTAAATCCCGCGTAGCGGGCGCGCGGCGGATGACAAGGCACGAGTTATAATTAATGCGCGATAGTTATTCGGAGCGTTATGTAACAATGTATGCGGGCGCGCGGCGGCGCGCGCGCGCGCGTGGGTAATTCCGCGTGTGTTATATATAAATCGTACGGCGAGGCAGTGTTTATTTACGAGACGTGCAAGAAACAGGGCGGCGGCTAGTCGGCGTGTGTACGGTAAGGCCGTGTTTATTTTGACGCGCTGAATATAATAGATGATATCCGGCGCGACAGGTATTTTGGCACGGCGATTAATTCAGGCGGACGGCAAAGTCGTGTTTTATTGATGCGTCGGTGGTAGATGCGTTAAGTCGCGTATTCCCAGCAGTGATGCCAGTTTCGAGACGCTGCCCACTGCCATAGCGTGTAGAGGGGATACGCACACAAGCGTGAACCGTGTACATTAATGCGCAGAGCGTTAATGATAAAAATGATACTAAACACGATATAAATCGTATAATTTTTAATGACATTCCCATTATTATAATCTTTTATTTGTTCGATTTTTATTCTTTCAATTCTTGTTTTCCTACATGATAATAAATTAATTTATTCATCTTTAAAATCAAGTAAAATCCGAGTAAAATGGCAAAAGAGCCACGCGCAGTTTTTTAAGGTCAGGTGGTTATCATTCAGGATCATGGTAATATCCAAGAAATTAAGTCGGTTTTCCTCTCCAATCTCAATTGTGAATTGTAGACGTGGGTGGAATGTATTGAGCAAAAGGAGAGAGAGAAAGGGAGAGAAGCGCGAGTAAACGCGTAAGCGAATATGCTAGAAGAATAAAGCTAAGTGATATGCAGTACGTAGTAAGCGAGCGATTAGAAAGAGAGATACAGAGAGAAACAGAGTAAGCGTATAATCGAGAGAAAGAAGATATTAGAAATTGGGATGATGTTAGTACGTACATGTATATTACTCTCTCACGCATGATTTAAAGTTTGGTAATTTATCAATTAATTATTCTATATAAAGCAGTAAAAATATATTGTGATATTGTCTCATTTCAATATATGGAACACAATGCAAAAGATTGCGTTTTCTATTATGCATGTTTGAAATAATTATGTTTGTAATGGCGGAACTAAAAATGTCGGTATTATCGACATTTTTAGTTACGTTTAGATGAGGGCGCTAACCCGTCAGAGTTCGCTCGTCGGTTTTGGATCCCCTTAAGCGGACGCAAATCAACACATAAACGCATAGAACCATTTTTTTCTAACGGGAACATCCCGTGCGCAATATGGTGAATTACTTTCTTTAATAATATTCCTGGATAACAAATCATCCGTTATTTCTCTAATTTGTATCTTTTCATTATAAGCAAATTTTCTAGGGGAATAGGCAAATATCGATTCGTCTTTTAAATTAACTTTAACAAAGTAATCATCCTCGATTAGAGATGTATCACAGTTTTCGACCTCCTTGAGTACAGAAATTAGTTTACGGTCTACATCTTTGTCAAAATCAGTATTGATCTCAGCTAATAAATTCTCTGATTTATCAACTATATCTGTAGAAGCAATCTCGGAAAATAGTTTTACTCTATCATTTATATTTTCATTTGAAGGATTAATTGTAACCGTAATCCTATGATTTGTAAGAAAATCACGTCCAAGAATTAATTGAGAAGTAAATGAACTATTTTTAAGGGGAGCGGTGCACTTGGACACAGTACAATTGGACACGATGCAAATAGACACGTTGCAAATGGACACGAAATTTTGTACACGGTTCATTTGGACACAATAATTTTGAACACAGTAGCTTTTGGACACAGAAGAAAATTCAACCAAAGAAGTCATATTTGCAATATAATTCGGCAACAAATCTAACTTAATAGGAACATTAATTGAACCGGTAATATTAATGGGGATACCATTTAAAGCTTTATAAGACGAATTAACTTTTTTAATAAAATTACAAGGAACATCAATTTTAGTAAAAATTTCATTAGAAATAAAAGAAACAGGACTACCTGTATCCAAAAGACTATGAAAAGAACAAGGAATATTATTAAATTCCATAATTCTTAAAACTGTATCATCAGTAACAATTTTTCTATCATTAGGAGGGTTAACATACGCAACATTGCCTCCTGAATTATCCTCGGGGTCGTCAACAGCAGCCACCGGTGGGGGAGAAGAACGTTGACCAGACTGCGAGAACTCGGTAGCAGGCTTCTTCTTCTTGAGTTTGTAACACTCCTCTTTTGAGTAATTCTTTCCACGGCAATATGCACAGAAAAGATCCT